AAACCCTCTACCCTAATCCCCAACCTCTAACCCCTAAACCACAAACCCGAATCCCTAGACCCTAAACCCCAAACCCTAAACCCCTAAACCCCAAACCCTAAACCCCAACCCTAAACTCCAAGCAGGGGATCGGGAGCAGCCCAGCGTGTCAAGGGACTAAAGGAGGGACCCTTATACGAGACCTCAGGGGTTCTTTAGGGGGTTATTTAGGGGCTACTTAGGTATATGGGGACTATTTAAGGCATATTTAGGTGTGAGATAGGGGGGATAAGAGTAAGGGTCCCTTCCAGGGGTCCGCTTGGATTCCCTTGAAGCGTAGGAGCTTTTCAGCAAGCTCGCGGATGCCAGCGCGATCGGCCTCCCCTTTCTCATGGCTCAGTTCCTTGGTGGATAGTAGAGTTTCGTTCAGGGTTTAGGGTTTAGGGTTTAGGGTTTAGGGTTTAGGGTTTAGGGTTTAGGGTTCAGAGTTTAGGGTTTAGGGTTCAGGGCTTAGGTTTAGGGTTCAGGGTTCAGGGTTTGGTGTTGAGAGGTTTAGGATTCGGGCCCCATGTCTCGTGGCCTGGCCCGCAATGACCCGGGTCTGAGTCTGAACCCGTCCTCTTCGCCATCCAACGGGTTTAGGGTTTAGGGTTTAGGGTTTAGGGTTTAGGGTTTAGGGTTTAGGGTTTAGGGTTTAGGGTTCAGGGTTCAGGGTTTCGGGGCCAGGCACTTTTAGTGGGAGATGAAGTGCAGGGATCACAAGAATCTCTCCTTAGTCGTTTGTTTGGGGTTTAGGGTTTGGGGTTTAGGGCCTGATTCAGAATTCGGACCTCTTTGCAGTTTCGGGTGCTATCCCTATTCAAGATTTTCAGGTTCTCTGGGAACCCATAGGGCCTGTGAACAGTCTGCGAAGTCTCATCTGAGGATCCACGGGCCCCATGCCGTAAGGAATGGACTCTAACGCTTTCTTTCCGAAACGTCGGGTCCTTTGGGGGAAGGGGGCGGTCTTTTTTCAGGGGGCTATCATGTGAAGGTGTATTGGGGAGCCAGTGGTTTGGATGCCCCCATGACACCCAATAACCCTAAACCCTCAGCCGTAAGTTCATAATGTGGAGATCTACAATTTGGGGGTCTGAATTAGAGGTCCCTTACTTCCGGCCTAACCCCCCCTAAGTAGCCCCTCAACAACAACGGTGTCCGAGTTTCCACTTCTCGCAATTCGACGCTCTGGTCTTCAGCCGCCTGAGATGCAATGTTCGGGTTGGGGTTCAGGGTTTAGGGTTCCGGGTTTAGGGTTTCGGGTTTAGGCTTTAGGGTTTAGGGTTCAGGTTGAGGGATGTGGGTTTTAGGTTTACGGTTGGCAGTTCCTGGGTTCGTTTGTTTTTTGGCGCTTAGGGTTTTCTTGAGACTGTGAAGCCTCAGCACCAAAACCTGGGAACCCTTGAATCCCTTAACTTGCACCCTGGGTCAAAGCCTCCTAAGCCCCCAAATGCAGTGTTTGTGTCTGACTCAGCTTCCTGTGGGCCCAGCATGAAAGTGTAAGCCCTAGCCCCACCCCTAAACTCCAAACTCCACGACTCTCAACTCTAGACTCTCTCGACCCTGGACCCTAAACCCTAAACCCCCTAAACCCCCTAAACCATCCTAAACCCCCTAAACCCCCTAAACCATCCTAAACCCCCCTAAGCCCCCTAAACCCCCCAAAACCCCAAAGCACTGGACACCCGAGGCTGGGTCCCCATGCTTGTTGGTGGAATCCTCTTGGGCGGTGTGGTTCCTGGTCTATGCTGCGTGGCGGCAAGACTTCAGGATGTTTTTTTTGGTGCTCGCAACAGGACACTCCTAGGGTTTAGGGTTTAGGGTCTAGGGTTTAGGGCTTAGGGTTTGGGGTCTAGGTTTTAGGGTTTACGGTTTAGGGCAGACAAACTCTACATCCCTACACCCTTCTGCACCCTAATGCCTCAAAGGCTGAGCCTGAAACCCTCTCGCTATCCTTTGCACAATCAGTTCATTAAGCCCATAGCCCCACTTCTCTTGGCTTAGGGGTTCCCAGGTTTTGTTCTGGGTTTAGGGTTTAGGGTTTAGGGTTTAGGGTTTAGGGTTTAGGGTTTCGGGCTTAGGGCTTAGGGTTTAGGGTTTAGGGGGTTTCGACTGCAGGGGTTGCGGTTTCGGGCTTCAAAGGGTCCGAGCCCACGCCCACAAACACGCCCGAGCCTCCTAACTTCTTGCCGCCCACCTCAACTAAACCCCATTGAGACCCGGAGTCCCCGAGCTGCTGGAAACTTAGGGCCTGGGTAGTTAGCCTTCAACCTTTTTTGGCATATATGATCCTATTGCAAATACAAGGCAAACCCTAAACCCCAAGCCCGAAACCCTAAACCCTAAGGAAACAACAGCATGTATTCAGGGGTTGAACGGCTTGGTGACTAGGACACTCCCAACCTTAAACCCTAAACCACAAGCCCGAAACCATCAACCCTAAACCCTAAACCACCATGTGCTACACCTGCAAAGCTCACGGAAGCCGGTGCCATGTTCAATTCGCCTTTGTCTAGGGTTTTAGGGTTTAGGGTTTAGGGTTTCGGGTTTAGGATTTAGGGCTTAGGGTTTAGGGTTTGGGGTCCTAGGCTTTTATGACTCTTCTGACAACCCCTTCCTGTCTTTAGACCTTCTGAGCCTTGCCTTCAGAGCTCCACAGCAGCAATAGCCAAGATTCCTGAATCCCCAAACGACCTGGGCGGGTTTGGGGTTCACAGGGTTTAGGGTTTGAGGCTTAGGCTTTAGGCTTTAGGCTTTAGGCTTTAGGCTTTAGGCTTTAGGCTTTAGGCTTTAGGCTTTAGGCTTTAGGCTTTAGGCTTTAGGCTTTAGGCTTTAGGCTTTAGGCTTTAGGCTTTAGGCTTTAGTTTAGGCTTTAGGCTTTAGGCTTTAGGGTTTAGGGTTTAGGGTTTAGGGTTTAGGGTTTAGTGTCCATACTTACTAGTTCTTAGTAGGGAATGGGGGAAGTAGGTACCCTTTGTATGCCCGTAAAGGGCATACATGGGGGGATATAAGGTACCAAAACCTGTAGGACGCAAGCACTCCAATCATATTATGAGGGCCCTCGCACCTCTTGGTTCGGGATTCCTAAACCCTAAACCCTAAACCCTCAACCCTCAACCCTCAACCCTAAACCCTAAACCCTAAACCCTAAACCCTAAACCCTAAACCCTAAACCCTAAACCCTAAACCCTAAACCCTAAATCATTCATACTAGGAGCCCTTAAGATGTCGGAATTCAAGAAGCACTCTTTATTGAGTGGGCACTGGGAGTATCTACAACAACCAAACCCTCTGCTCTGAATCCCCCAGTCCGGAAGTCCTGAACCCTCCTGAACCCTGAGTCCTAAACTTCTAAATCCCAAGCCCAACATCCTGGACCCTAAACCCTACACCCTACACCCTAAACCCTAAACCCTAAACCCTAAACCCTAAACATCTGAAACCTCCGGGAGCTGTCGCCCGAGGTGGCGTGTACGGCCACGCCAAAGTGTGGAACGGGTGCTTCTGGTACTATAGGCGGCGCTGGACCCTAAACCCGAAGCCCTACTTGAAGGTTCATGGTACTTACTAACCAATTATAACTGGGCTTATAACCCTACTTATAATTGGGATAACCCCTATAAGACCCTTTAGGGGTATTATAAGTAGGGTTATAAGTACAGTTATAATTGGTTAGTAAGTACCATGAACCTGCAAGTATCAACCCCAAAACGTTGGGATGCTCTTCCTTATACTCACCGTCCTTGGTGGGGACTCTATCAGGGGTACTATAGTCCCTATGGAGGACGAGAGGGAATCTAAATGCTAAGTGGCTTTCAAGTCTTTGAACCCCCATGAGACCCTTAGGCCCGAGAAGGGTTTACTTGGAGGTTCAGACGCAACTATGGTCATAGCTGTACTTCGGGGACTTCCAACCCTTGCGGTTAGGTACCCCTGAACCTTCAAGTGGGGTTTGGGGGGGTTACCAGGTTGGGTGATGGGTATATTCGGTTGTGAACTCAAGCAAACCATGTCCCCAAGTTCAAAACGGTCCCCAAAGCCCATGTTCGCCCCCCCGCCCCCCGCCCCCCCGCCCCCCGCCCCCCCCGCCCCCCGCCCCCCGCCCCCCGCCCCCCGCCCCCCGCCCCCCGCCCCCCGCCCCCCGCCCCCCTCCCCGGGCCGCCCCCCCGCCCCCCGCCCCCCGCCCCCCGCCCCCCCCCCCCCCCCCCCCCCCCCCCCCCCCCCCCCTTTAGGTGCAGGGTTTCATAGCTTAGGGTTGTAGGGTTTCGGCTAACCCTGAACCCCGTCATGGGGTTTGGTGTTTACATTCGCATTACTTCTGAATCGTTCAACAGCCCAACCCCTTGACCCCCAGAACCCTAGTCTTCCTGAAGCTCGCTGTGAGGCTATCTGCTATCATCCTCGCTCTGATGCCACTTGGGCTATTTCTCACCCGCAAGGCTTTGGAGTGATTGTGTGTATTTTTCATTCCCCCTTTTTGTTAGGGTTGAGGTTCCCTGAGAAGCGCCTTTGAAACAAACAGGGCACCCTTCGTACTCTTGGCTTACTCCTGGGTCTAGTTGAGCATCAAAGTTTGACTGTTCGCGGTTTGTGGCTCAGTGTTTGAATGTTTAGGGTATCGGGCGAAGCATCACTACACTTACCACAAAAACATTCCAAGACCCAACAGCCTAGCTTCTTACTCGGCTATTTCCGGATGGTTCCATCCCTAAGCCTAATCCCTAAACCCTATTCTGCCATCTTCAGCGATTGCACATGCAGATGTGCGCGCCTTCAAAAGCCCTGAAGTCCTAGTTGGTTAGGCAGGCTTAGGGTTGAGTTCCACAATCCTAAAACCTCAGCCCCAAGCCATGAGCCACCCCCTAAACCCTACACCCTAAACCCTAAACCCTACACCCTACACCCTAAACCCTCAACCCTAAACCCTACCCTCATCCCAAATCTGCTCAAGGACTCCCTTCCGATTCTTGGGGCTCATCCCAATGCCTTTGATTGGCTCTGTCGCCCACCTGCCCCTCGCGGGCTGGCCGGCAGTTGCGCAAGGCGTGAAGGGTTCAGCTACGCCCTAAGCTCCTGTTAGGGTTTAAATAGGGGGGTCTAACTAGGGTTTAGGGTCTGGGGTTAGGGTTCAGGGTTTAGGGTCTAGGGTTTGCGGTCTAGCTTTTAATATCAAGGTTCGGATGTAGGGCTCAAGTCTGGTTACGGTCTGCAGAAACCACCTTGGCTTAGGGTTTAGGGTTTAGGGTTTAGGGTTTAGGGTTTAGGGTTTAGGGTTTAGGGTTTAGGGTTTAGGGTTTAGGGTTTAGGGTTTAGGGTTTAGGGTTTAGGGTTTAGGGCCATGAATCCGAACCCCTTGAACCCGAAGCCCTATTCCCCCCCCCCCCGGCCCCCATAAACGGTTGGGGTTTGACGCTTGTCGGAGGAGCACCGGTTTAGGGTTTAGGGTTTTTAGTTCTTAGGGTTTAGGGCTTTTAGTTAAGGGTTTTGGGGTTTAGGGTTGAGGAGTTTGGGGTCGCAGAGACCTTGCCCATCATCTGCTGCTTCAGCTTCTGGGAACGTGAGATGTAACCCTAAACCCCAAACCCTGAACCCTAAACCCTAAACCCTAAACCCTAAACCCTACCCTGCACCTGGAACCCTGAACCCTGAGTGAAACTCCCCTGGATGCCAGGTGTTGAGATCCGCCTGATTGAGCAGGACGTTGAAACGGATTGTGGGTTTAGGGTTCAGGGTTTAGGGTTGACGTTTGCGGGCCACGCGGGGCGTGACTTACGTTGCACACGCCGCCGTCTGTCTCACGAACTGCGTCTGGCACAGTGTTTCGGTGCCATTTCGGTGCAGTGAACCCTGAACTTATCCCTAAACCCTAAACCCGAAACCCTGAACCCTGAACTCCTGGAACCTGAAATAGCCGAGCAACGCCCCCGAAAACCCGAAAAGCTCTATTGATTTCAGGGTTGTCAGGGGGCTCGGTAGGGTCTATAGCCCCTAAGCCCTGAACCCTAAAACTCTACTGAGACCCCTAAACCTGAAGCCTCTGAACTCAAACCCTAAACCCTAAACCCTAAACCCTAAACCCTAAACCCTAAACCCTAAACCCTAAACCCTAAACCCTAAACCCTAAACCCTAAACCCTAAACCCTAAACCCTAAACCCTAAACCCTAAACCCTAAACCCTAAACCCTAAACCCTAAACCCTAAACCCTAAACCCTAAACCCTAAACCCTAACCCTAAACCTAAACCCTGAACCCTAAGCCCGGAAGCCCTAGTCAGGAGAACAACGCGAAGTTCCAGGCCATGATGCAGCTGAGCCATCGCTGCTACTGGCTTCGGGGTTGGGGCTTCGGTTTTCAGGGTTTAGGGTTTAGGTTTTAGGATTCTGCTGTGACCCCTCGAGCCCACACCCTACACCCTAGAAACCCAAAAAAGCACAACAACCCAAAAAAAGCCTGAAAAACCCTAAAAGCCCTAAAACAGTAAACCCTAAAAGCCCTGAAAAACCAAAGAAAAACTTTAAACCCCAAACGGGCTTAGGGTTCAGGGCTTAGGAAGTCTCAGGATCGGCTTCGTTTGCGGGTCCATCACCAGCTCGCTCTACCCTCACCTCTTCTATGCCGAGGCGCGCTGCATCAGGATCTTGGGGTTTAGGGTTTAGGGTTTAGGGTTAAGGGTTTAGGGTTCAGGGTTTAGGGTTTAGTGTTTAGGGTTTAGGCTTTAGGGTTTAGGGTTTAGTATTTCGGGTTTAGGGCTTAGGGTTTAGCAGCCTAGCAGCCTAAACCCTGAGGCCGGAAAGGACCCTCAAGCCGACCTCTCTCCCCCTCAACCCTCAAATGCCCTGACACCCCAAACCCTAAACTTCAAACCCTAAACCCTAAACCCTAAACCCTAAAGCCTTGCTTTTAATTTGTGGAACCTCCCCAACTCTTGGAAACTGCAACCCGAAGGCCCTACAACACCCAAGTTGATGACTTTTTAGGTTTCAGAGGCTTTGGGATGGGCACGTTCTATTGGAAGTTGCATGGGCCCTTAATCGGGTTCCTCACCTTCTTCAAAAGGGTTCTGGGCGTAAGGGGCCAGATTCAGGACCATGCAACTACCCTAAGACAGGTAGGTAGGGCGCCCCTCGTGCCTTCAGGCGACCACGTACTCCTACAAGGTCTTCCCGCCGCTTTGGCTGAGTTCGGGTTTGGAGACAATTCGGTTGCGGCATAGAACCTCCCCAAACCCCGCAACCCCAGAACCAACAAGAGCTGGGAGAAGGACTTCCCAAACTATTCCCCCTTTCCCTTCTGCACCCCTAAACCCTAAGCCCTCAACCCTCAACCCTAAACCCTCAACACACCATGCCATCTCAACAAAAGGTCACAAGCACAGACCCTTTCATCCTAGCGTTGCTCTGTAATTCCGGGGCCTCAACAAGTAATAGAATGGGGTTTTTGGGGTTCTGAATTTGTGATCATAAAGGGACCATAAGGGAAGACAGTTAGTAGTTATTCCGGCCCCTACATAAGGGCTCCTTCTGAATAATCATTCCCTTTTCTTGGGGCTACAATGGTTTGGAAATAGCTCCTACCTATCAGGCATCTGTTTACAAAACCGCAACCACCAATGGGAGGATCCCAATCTGTTGGTCCTGCAGGTGGAGTGTTCGCATGGTTTCCTTTGCAGGAACCACTGTAAACGGGGGATCTCACATTCATGAGGGCACGGGAGCTTCAGCTACCACATCATGGTGGCAACGCCACGGGAATCCGGAAACAGGCCTTACGTCTTAAACTCTAAGCTCTCATCCCTGAACCCTAAATCCTAAACCCTAAACCCTAAACCCGAAACCCGAAACCCTAAGGTACGCCATCTCCTCTTTCTTCCTGCTCTTTACGGTGCCGATCTACATATTCTACAACGGCCCCCAGCAGCTCGCCATGTGCGAGAAGATCGACCAAGAGGCCGGTTCAGTTGCTAGGGTTTAGGGTTTAGGGTTTATAGGGTTTAGGGTTTAGGGTTTAGGGTTTAGGGTTTAGGGTTTAGGGTCGATGTTTGAAGTTTAGGATACAAGGCAGTTACATGGCCTTGTATTAATTGGGGACCCCTTATATACCCCTTTTTTGCCATATAAAGCCCAAGGGCCAATATTTCAGAACCCTATGAGGAAGACAAGGGCCATAGTCAGGACCATATCCTGCCTTAGGTTTTTGGGTTTAAGTCATGGGTTCCCCTGCTGCCCCCCTCTTCCCCCCCCCCCCCCCCCAAACCCTAAACCCTAAACCCTAAACCCTAATCCCTAATCCCTAAACCCTAAACCCTATTTAGGGATAACTCAGGTTTTGGGGGGACCAGGGCTCTCATGGGTAGTATGGTAGAAGTAGGGTCATAAGGACCCAAGATACGGTTTAAGCTGCAGCCCAGATATGTACCCATGAACCGGCGTTTAGGGTTTAGGGTTCAGGGTTTAGGGCGGGTTTAGGGTTTAGGGTTTTGGGTTTTGGGTCAGATATGTACCCATAAACCGGCAAGTATTTCCCCGGACCCGAAAGCTAAACCCCAAACCCAAACCCTAGCACTGAACCAGTATTGTGGCGCGGTAGATCTCGAGGTTTCCATCACTGTCAATTACTTCTCGCAGCTCCTGATCGTTCTAACCCCACCCCCCCCACCCCCCCCCCCACCCCCCCGCAAAAAAAAAAAAAATAATAGTAGTAATGAAGCTTAAACAACAAACTCTGACCATGTATCTTAAACCCGGTGAAGTAAGCCCTAAACCCTAAACCCTTGCTTGTTGGCATGGGGTGTCTGCTGTTCGGTTGGCGTTGGTTGATGTGAGGAGGTTTCTACGAGGCGGCCGGGATCCTTCAGCCTCGAAACCAACGCATTCCCTTATTGTGTGGTAGCAGGAGCCTCCTCAGGACCCTAAACTGGCCCAAAACCCTAAATCCTAAACCCTAAACTCTAGATCCTATGAGGCCTCAACAGGCCACCCTGAAGACCCCGTTGATGGTTGCTTCACGGTGCTTCCACCGATTTCGAGGAACAGCAGGTTGGAGGCTTTTGGCAGAGGTTTGATTATGTGCAGCCCCTGAGCCTAAACCCCCAAATCCTCAAACCACCAGACCTAAGCGGGAATGGTCTTCGGGCTCTCCAAACCCCAGAAGAAGAGTCCTTAAAGCCCAAGGGTATCCCTACATGTCCTAAACCCTAAGCCCTAAACCCTACACCCTACACCCTAAACCCTAAACCCTAAACCCTGAACCCTAAACCCTAAACCCTAAACCCTAAACCCTAAACCTCCCCAACCTCCCCCCCCCCCCACACCCGCCCCGCAAGGCTCGTGACAAGATGGAAGAAGCCCGGAAGGCAACACAAAGCGAAGCAGAGGCTCCATCTCTTTGGGGGTTTAGGGTTTAGGGTTTAGGGTTTAGGGTTTAGGGTTTAGGGTTTAGGGTTTAGGGTTTAGGGTTTAGGGTTTAGGGTTTAGGGAAGCCACAGCCGGGGTACAGTTTGTGGTTAGGGGGCTTGGGGTTTCGGGCTTTTAGGTCGAGGCCCAAAAAGCATCGAAACCCGGTGCTACATGTTGCAGAGCTTGCTCGTCTCACTCGTCCCGCCTGGGAGTTACCCAAGATGAGACCTAAACCCTGAATCCTAAACCCTAAACAACCCTGAACCCCAAAATTCCAATCCCAAACCCTTTTAAACCCTGAACCCTGAACCCTCTTGGGGTTCACGCTCTGGGAGATCTAGACGAGATGGTACTGAGGTATAAATTCGCAAGCCAGCAAGCCTCATTCCTGTACTACTATCTGCTTAAGAGCCCCAAAATGTGAAATAGCAATCTCTGTTTTCCGCATAGGGAAGAAGAGTCTGTTTCAAGGGTTCTTAAGCAATTAGTAGTGTACCGACTGACTGGCACACGCCGTCTTGGGTTCCTGTGTGTTCCGGCCTGGGGATGTCTGAGCAGGCTGCTAGAGTCTAGTAAACTTGGGCATCCGCGTGGGGTCGTCATCGGAAGCCTGTAAGATCTAAACTGAGCCCTATATATGTACAAAACCCATATCCGCAACCCCCCTCAACATCAACGTCCGGATGTCTGCAGAAACCTGTTTTGCCGTAGGGCCCTCTACAGTCGAGGCATATTTCTTGCGCCTGGCCGCTGTCACTACTGTAGTGGAAGCCGAGATGATGCTTTGACTTGAACATGGCTCCGTGTTACCCTAAACCCTAAACCCTAAACCTTTAACCTTAAACCCTCACCGAGCCCTGTTCATCCCGAAGTCCGCAATGTCACGCAGCCAGGCAAAAGCAGAACAGGCCGCAAAAGACAAAGAAGAGGACTTGGTTTACGCTTTTGGCGGTAGGGTGTAGAGGCTTAGGGCCGTGTGTCGACACCATCTCGTTTACGGTTGACACTCTATGTAGGGTATCCGAGATACCCTTAGCAAAAAGGGGAAGTACCCCAAATGGCTGTGCGACATTTCCCTTTGAGTTTACAAGGGTATCGAGGTTACTCCATGAAAACTCTAAACCTTGAGGGGTTCAGGACCGCAGGCTGTAGGTTTTGGAACTAGCGGTGTAGGTTCTAGGGTCCAGGGTCTGGGATTTAGGGTTTAGGGTTTAGGGCTCATAGTGGCAGTCTTGAACAGGGCTTAGATGCAGGGGTACTCGAACTACAATGGCTATTGTGAGCAGGCAACGGCCTTTGTACTTAACCCCGAGCCGTCCCAAACCCCCAAAGCCCCAAAACCCCCAAACCCCAAAACCGCAAAGCCCCAAAACCCCAAAACCTCAAAACCCCAAGACCCCAAGACCCCAAAACCGCAGAAGCCCAAAAACCCCAAAACCCAAAAACCCCAAAACCCCAAAACCCCAAAACCCCAAAACCCCAAAACCCCAAAACCCCAAAACCCCAAAACCCCAAAACCCCAGAACCCCAGAACCCCAGAACCCCAAAACCCCAAAAGCCCAAAACCTAGCGTTCGTCCGTGCAAGACTTACTCTACCGCGCAAGCGCAGGGGTGAAGGGTTTTGGCTAGGGCGAATTCGGGTCATGAGCATGAACATGAAAGTTAATGTTGCAAGTATGAGTTCGTAACCGCCTAGCAAAAGTATGCACCAATATACATATATACGAATTCACATATATATATATATGTATGGGAACGGTCCAAAACGCTAGGCTTGTAACAGGCCCCCGGGCGGGCACGGTGCGACACAGGGTTTATAACAAAAGCCGGTTCTTGCGACAAGATTTGCGCGACAAGCCTTGCGACAAGGCTTGCGACAAGGGGCGTTTTCTAGAATGCCACGCGACAAAGGTTTGAAATATAGCTGGCGCGACAAGGGTTTGCAACAAGGTGGGGGCCGCCCCCCCCCCCCCCCCCCCCCCCCCGCGACAAGGGGGGTATTGTGCCAAGCCCGTATATATATATATATATGTATATATATATATATATACGTATATATGTATCTCGTAAGAGCACCATCTTCAGATCAGGCGATCCTAACTTCGTTGTCTGAGACCTCCTCCATCTTCACCCCCCCCCCCCCCCCCCTCTCCCTAAGAAGCCCTACGCCCTACCAAAACTCCCTCAAACCCTAAACCCTAAACCCTGAACCTTAAACCCTAAACCCAGGGCGCCTAACACAAAAGGGACTCGAATTTCAATAACCAACTGCTTTACCGGGGCCGGGAGGTTAAAGTTTAAGGTTTAGGGTTTAGGGTTTAGGGTTTAGGGCTTAGGGCTTAGGGCTTAGGGCTTAGGGCTTAGGCTTCTTGGACAGGAAATCCGCGCCCTCAAGGAGGACTGTTGGGGGACATCGGGGTCAGGGAGCTCGGTGTCTTGTTACCCTAAACCCTAAACCCTAAACCCTAAACCCTAAACCCTAAACCCTAACCCCTGATCCTGGGTCACGAAGTCCGAGGTAAGGTTCTGGGACACCGGCGGCTCAACATCCTGAGCCCTGAGTCGGGTTTAGGGTTTAGGGTTTAGGGTTTAGGGTTTAGGGCTTCAGGCTTTAGGTTTGGTCTTGTGTTAAGAGGCCTCGAGTTCTTCCTGATTTTCAGAATCCAAAACAGCGCCGTGCTGAAGTCTGTATGCAACCTGGACAGAAGCCGTTGGTTGAGGCTCCCTTCGCCCTAGGCGCTTACCTCAAAAGATCTGACAAAGCCCTACTAGGTCCCAACCCCGCACTCCAAAACGCTACTTAAACCCGACTTAAACGCCGAGGCCCAGGAATCCTGCACTTTACAATATACAACATAAGTACAAGATAGGTGCAGCTGCTACCCTGCACACAGCGAAACAAGAAAGTCAGAAGCGCCCAAGCCCTTGAAGCCCAAACTCCAACATCTAAACCCAGCAGCCCCCTAGCAAGTGATGAGTGGGTGAGAATCGACCGGCCGATATGCGGCGGCCTACCACCCGTGCCCCTCTCGGCATCTCGGGAAACGTCCTTTCCCCCCTCTTCCGTGACCCCGTCTTCTTCTTAGGGACTGGGAAGGTAACCTTTAACCCTTTATGGTTATATAGAATCCCGCACATATGAAGTAGGGTTTATATTTCTTGTATCCCCGAGAGGACACCCGATACATATGTGTATATATATATATATATATACACTCACCAATATTAAAAAGGAACCTTATATACACTCACCACTAGCAGAAATAGAAACCCTGCTGCATACAGAAAACGTATATGTATACGTATACGTATATGTATACGTATATGTATATGTATATGTATATGTATATACATATATATATATATCTAACGGTTAACTTTTTTGGGGCTAGTGTATGCAGCTCCCAAGTTCTTCAGAAGTACTCATCAACCCAGGGAAGCTTCTTAAAAAAACCCTGGGGCGGGGATCGGAAGGCACATCTGCCCCAAAACCCCAACCCCACAAACCCCTTGGAAATCCCCCTTGTTAGGGGTGGGTAGGTTTTGCAGGGCTTTAGGTTTTTATTCAGGGCTCC